AAATTGGTGTCTTTCTTTGTCATGATTTTACTATTTACCCAGAAGTTCTCTACAGTGTCAGTAATTGTGACACTAGAGGTTGATCAACACCCACTTACTTCACTTTGTATAGCTTTTAGGCTCTTCAAAATAGTAAATGGTATATCAAACTATAAAAGTGAGGTGTAAATATGCATGTATGTGAATATGAAAGTTACTCCTAAACACGTACACATGGCTCTGCTGTGGTTTAAAACTGACTTTTTCATTTCAGGCAATCTGGACTTTATTAGAAATAAATTGTTTTTCTTGGTTTTATTCTCTAAAGGATCCAGCATTTGGAGGCAAACATGACGCTCCATCCTCTCCAATTTCGGGGCAACCATGTGGAGATGATCAAAATGCTTCACCTTCAAAACTTTCAAAGGAAGAGTTAATACAGAGTATGGATCGTGTAGATCGAGAAATTGCAAAAGTAGAACAGCAGATCCTTAAACTGAAAAAGAAACAAGTAAATGCCTTTGCTTAATATATTCTAAGAATGTATGTTTGTCTTCCTACGGAAGATAATTTTGAGTTTTCCATATTTTGAAACTTAACATAAAAGGAATCATGCCTTATATATTCTATGACTTGCTGTTTTTTTGCTATTATTGTGGTTTTCTTGCATTCATTCATTTTCCCTGCTGCACTGATTATATAATTGTAGAGAGTGAAATTTGTTTGTCCATTCTGTTTTTGATGTTGTTTTTTTCTATTCCATACAATGTTAATGGTTTTTAGTTCATATGTAGAGATTTTCTAGGGCGTGTGCCCAGGAATTGCAGTGCTTGGCCCAAGATTATACACAGTGAACTATTTAATAGATGATACCAAATTTGCTAAGAAGTAATACCATTTTACATTCCCACCGGCAGCTTATATGAGTACTGGTTTGTGCACATTCTTGCCTTTACTTGATACATTTTTTAAAGTTGGATATGAAATAGTTTTCACTGTGGTTTCAATTTGTATTTCCTTGATTAGGGAGGAGACTGAGCTTATTTTCATTTGTTTATCAGTTATTTGGGTTCCTTGTGTCCATTGTTGTAAGTCTTGCATCTATATTCTCCTATTCTGTCATTAAAATTTTTAGGATTTCCTGAAGTCCCTTGTCAGATATGTGTATAGCAGATATTGCCTAGTTTGTGGTTTGTCATTTCACTTTTAGCCTAGAATTCACTCTCAGTGTACACTGAGAGTGCATTTTTTTTCTTTTTTTTTGGATTTGGAGTCTCACTCTTATCACCCAGGCTGGGGTACAATGGCACGATCTTGGCTCACTGCAGCCTCTCCCTCCCAGGTTCAAGCAATTCTACTGCCTCAGCCTCCCAAGTAGCTGGGACTACAGGTGCATGTCACCGTGCCCAGCTTTACGCGCTTTTAATGTATTCATAAAGTTGCGCAGCTATCGCCACTCTCTAATTCCAGAATATTTTTATCATTTCAAAAAGAAACTCCGGTAGTTACTCCCCATTTCCCCCTTTCCCCAGCCCCTGGCAACCACTAGTCCATTCTCTGTCTCTATGGATTTGCCTGTGCTGGATATCAGAAAAAATAGAATCATATGTGACCTTTTGTGTTTCGCTTCATTTATTTAGCATGTGGTCCCAATTCATCCATGTTGAACCTTGTCTCAGCACTTCATTAGTTTTTATGCCTGAATTCCGTTGCATGAGTATACTGTGTTTTGCTTATCATTCAGTAGTTGATGGATATTTGAGTTTTGTTCATTTTTGACTATGATTAATAATGTACTGTGATGAGAGTCATGTCTCATTTTCCGGTGGACATATTTTTACAGGTTTCTTTTATCTAGGAGTGGACATATGGTGAATCTATGTTTAAATTTTTGAAAAGCTTCAAAACTGTTTTCCAAAGCCTCTGTACCATTTTACATTCTCAACAGCAGTGTATGGAGGTTCCATTTTTTCCTACCTCCTTGCCAGCATCTGCTGTTTTCCTTTTTTAAAAAAATATAGCCATCCTTGTAGATGTGAGGTGGTATCTAGTTGTGGTTTTCATTTGCATATCCTTAATGACTAATGATGTTGAGCATCTTTTCATGTGCTGATTGGCCATTTGTCTATCTTTTTTCAAGAAATGTTTATTTAGACTGTTTGCTTATTATTTAATTGGGTTGTCTTTTTATCATTCTAAGAATTCTTTTTTTTTTTTTTTTTTTTTCTCTGAAATCTAGGTGAATGTTCTAAGAATTCTTTACATATTCTGGATATTAGTCTGTCATCAGATATATGACTTACTAGATATTCTCTCTCATTTTGTGGGTTCTTTTCACTTTCTTGATAGTATCATTTGATGGACAAAAGTTTTGTTTTTTTTTTGTTTTTTCTTTTGAGTTGGAGTCTTGCTCTGTTGCCAGGCTGGAGTACAGTGGCGCAATCTTGGCTTAGTGCAGCATCTGCCTTCCAGGTTCAAGTAATTCTCCTGCCTCAGCCTCCCAAGTAGCTGGGACTACAGGCACCTGCCACCACACCCAGCTAATTTTTGTGTTTTTGGTAGAGATGGGGTTTCACCATGTTGGCCAGGATGGTCTCGATCTTGTGACCTCCTGATCCGCCTGCCTTGACCTCCCAAAGTCCTGGGTGATGTACAAAAGTTTTGAACTTTTATGAAGTTCAGTTTGCTTTTCTTGTCACTCTTGAATTTGGTGTTATATTTAAGAGCCATTGCCTGATTCATGGTCACAGATTTATACCTATGTTTTCTTCTACAAATTTTGTAGACCTCTTATATTTGGGTCTTTCATCCTGATAGTGTTTTTTGCTAAACTGAATTTGTTTAGGTTTTATATGAAGACCCCCTGGGGTTATTAAGGTAGTTTTACTGTATTATTTTTTAAAGTTTTATAGTTTTGCTTCTCATCTGATTCTTAATCCGTTGGAAGCTACATGTTGTATAGTCAGTATTCATTTATATTTATCCACATTTGTCTTGTTTTCTTACTTGCTCACTATCTCTTCTTGCAACTCAAGTCTTCCATCTAGGGGAACAGCCTTCTACTGAAGAAGACCTCTTAGAATTTCCTTTAGTGAAGGTCTCTTGATTGGCAAATTCAGTATTTGTTTGGTTTTTGTGACTTAAATATTGTCTTATTTTTGGCCTGTTTATTAAAAAGGCATATTAGTCGGGCATGGTGGCTCATGCCTGTAATCCCAGCACTTTGGGAGGCAGAGGTGGACAGATCATGAGGTCAGGAGATCGAGACCATCCTGGTTAACATGGTGAAACCCTGTCTCTACTAAAAATAAAAAAAATTAGCTGGGCATGGTGGCGCATGCCTGTAGTCCCAGCTACTCAGGAGGCTGAGATAGGAGAATCACTTGAACCCGAGAAGCCGAGGTTGCAGTGAGCTGAGATCATGCCACTGCACTCTAGTCTGGATGACAGAGTGAAACTCCGTCTTAAAAAATTAATTTGGTATGTGATTATTTTTTCTTAGTACATTGTCTTCTTGCTTCCATTTTTAAGACATTAGCTGTTGTTCTAAATCCGTATTCTTTCATGGATAATGTGAATTTTCCCTCTGGTTGTTTCAATACATTATTTTCCTTGGAATTCCATTATTTTTATGATGCATTTAGGTGTTTTTTCTTCCCCCTTTTAAATCTATCCAACTTGAGCTTCCTGAATTTGAAGGGTAGAGTTTTTTCGTCACTTTGGGAACATTCCGAGCCATTATCTTTTTTTACAAAACCTAACATTTTCTTTCTCTACTTAGGAAATTCCTGTTAGTTGTAGCATCTTACCACTCTTGTCTTCCATGTCTCTTAATTGTTTCTCTTTCTCATTTTTTACTTCTTTGGGCTTCATTCTGAGCAATTTCTTCAGCCTGTCTTCTAGTTTACATTTTCCTTTTCCTATGTAATCTGTCAAATCTGTCTTCAGTTTCAACAATTATGTTTTTATTTCTGGAATTTCTATTTGGCTCCTTTTCAAATCTGCCTGGTCGGTTTTTAAAATGCTTCTTTGCTTTCATTGAATCATATTAAATTTTTATTATATGCCCAACAATTCTAGTTAAGTCTTTATTGGTTTGATTTTGCTGAGTCTCTTTTATTTTCTTTCTTTTGGCTTTAGTTTCTTTACTTGTATAATGGTAATAATCTAGTAATAACACCAACTAAATCACATGATTGTTTTATAAATTGAGATAATGAATATATTGCATACTATCTGGTACATAGTAAATGTACATGCAATGCATTATAATTAGAAATAATGAAATATAATGTATGATTATTATGAAATGTACCAGAGCTACAAATTTAATGAGAGATATATCAAAGACAACTAGAGAAAACAAAGAAACCTGTCGTAGCTGGATGGAAATATTAGTAATAATGTTGTGTGTTCATCTTGCACTAAATCATGTCTCATACAATTACAATAAAATTCCAACTAAATTTATTTTTGAAACATGGCAAGTACACTGTAAAGTTAATGTAAAAGAACAGACAGGGCCAGGCATGGTGGCTCAATGCTTGTAATCCCAGCACTTCGGGAGGCGGAGGCTGGCCGAATCACCTGAGGCCAGGAGTTCGAGACCAGCCTGGCCAACATGGCAAAACCCTGTCTCTACTAAAGAGACAAAAAATTTGCCTAGTGTGGTGGTGGGTGCCAGTAATTTCGAGAACAAACAAACAAACAAACAGGTGAGGGGAGAGAGAGAGTGTATTTGCTTTTAGCCTTTAAGGTGTAATGTTTTTGTCCCAAGGCTTTTTGGGTACTACAAAGTGTTATTTGTTTATTCCTTAACAAGGATTATACAAGGCGGCCCTCTAAGCCTGAATGAAAGGGCATCACTGAAGAACCCCTTATCATAAGAAGGATTTAAGAATTTCAAATATCTTTCTTTTGCTTATACGGATAACAGACTACAAGAGTGCTTGTAATTCCGAAGTGGAAGTGTTCCTAACAGTTTAGACCCTCTTGGTGGATTTTATTTATTTATTTATTTATTTTCCAATCAGGCAGCCTCCTGAGCCACAATAGGCTCAGAGACTCCCTCTTGGTGGATTTTTATGCATTCATTTGGGCATGATCTGATTTATGGGACTGGGAGCTTTGACTATCAGTTTTATTTAGCAGTACAGATAATTTTTTCCTATAGGCTATACTAGACTTAACCTTCATTTGCCTTTACCTAATTTGATAAAAGAAAATTTGCCTTTACCTAATTTTTCTTTTATCATCTTAGGCAGTGGACTTATGCTATATTTATTCATGTGGATTTTTTGTTTTTTGAGATGGAGTTTTGTTCCCGCCATTCAGGCGGGAGTGCAGTGGCGTGATCTCAGCGCACCCCAACATCCGCCTGCCAGGCTCAAGCGAGTTGCCAGTCTCAGCACCCCTCCACCCTCAGCAGCTGGGATTGCAGGCATGCGCCACCATGCCCAGCCAGTTTTGTATTTTAAGTAGAGTTGGGGTTTCTCCATGCTAATCAGGCTGGTCCAAAACTCCCGACACCAGGTGATCCACCTGCCCCGGCTTCCCAAAGTGCTGGGACCACAGCAGTGAGCCGCTGTACCTGGCCTCACGTGGATATTTTTAAAGCAGTTACTAGGTATCAGACACTGGCACTGGTTTAGGTGTTGAAAAAAAGCAGACAAGTCCCTGCTTGCTTCACTGGTAATGCTTGGTAATATATACAATTTATAGTTTTAATATGCTTTATATATATATAAAGTCATTTAGTGTTTTCAAAAAGCTGTATGATAGTAGTATTATTACCCCTACTTTATTTATGAATAGTTTAGTGGTTTGCTTAAGATTGACCTAAGGACCCAGAAAGGGTCCTAGGGATCACACCACCTGTAAAGGGTGACCTTGAGGCTCAAACCCAGGCAAGCTAATACAGATAGCTTTTTGCTTTATACTTTCACACAGCAACAGTCTGTTTTTTTTGTGGTTTTGTTGAGTGCCCTTTGGCTGGAGCACTGTAACACATGAAGGTTAGGTGTTGAGGGTGGCATGGTGCTGTGTTGAGTTAAGGATTAACCCTTGAACTCCTTTCTACCATATTCTGCCCACCAGACAGTAATGTATACTGTGTATCTATAACATAGAAAAATGTTTTTTCAGTACTGTCAAAGGTCGTTGTGATAGAGGTATATAGAATACCTTCATTAAATTTAACTTATTGTTTTACTTTAGGTTAATCTGAATTAAAATCTTAAAGAATGCTTCCTCTTAGTTTTTTTTTTTTTTTTTTTTAAACTCTGTCTTATGAAAATTTGTGTTGTGAAATAAATCTGATTGATTTTCTTTGAGCTCTTGGTCCATGAGACCCTCTTGGATTAATTGATTATCCTACCAAATCTGTAAGCAAAGCTTAGTAGCCTGTGTTACCTCCAGCAGTTAATCACTGGTGGGGGTGGTGTGCAGCACATGTTTGACTCTTTCTTTCTGGATCTCTTAGCAACAACTTGAAGAAGAGGCAGCTAAACCTCCCGAGCCTGAGAAGCCCGTGTCCCCTCCTCCTGTGGAGCAGAAACACCGCAGTATTGTCCAAATTATTTATGATGAGAATCGGGTAAGCTCATACCATCTCTGGCAGCATAGGCCTTTAAACCCACTTGACTCTGCCCTTTTTAGTTTTGAATGTGTTCTGGTATAATTTTAATTTTATTAAAAGCTGATTTCTCATATAATTTTTAATGTTTATAAGCTTTGGCTGACTGAGCTTCGTGTTTTTTTTCTTATCAATTGAAAGAAAAGTTTACATTTGTGCCTTAAATTATGTAATATTTCATTTTACATTATATATTACATAAATATTTAATCAGTAAAACTGTCAACTGAGTCTCCTTTTATATGAATACTGACATGCAAGTTTGGTAGCATATAATGTAAAACAACCATTCTGTAATTTTTCCCTTAATAAAGGATGTTTAATGCTGACTGTTGATAACATTTCAGTAAAGAAAGGTCATTGCATGTGAGGAAATGAAGTTTCTTGTCAGCATTAGTTCACAGTTGATAGTTGGGCTGTGGTTTGAACTTGTTAAAAAGTTCAAGGCTGGGCATGGTGGCTTACGCCTTTAATCCTAGTGCTTTGGGAGGCTGAGGCTGGTCGATCACTTGAGGTCAAGAGTTTGAGACCAGCCTGGCCAACATGGTGAAACCTTGTCTTCCCCTAAAAATACAAAAATTAGCCAGGCGTGGTATTGTGTCCTCGTAGTCCCAGCTACTTGGGAAGCTGAGGCAGGGAAATCACTTGAACCCGGGAGGTGGAGGTTGTTGTGAGTTGAGATCTCACCATTCACTCTGGCCTGGACAACACAGCAAAACTCAGTCAAAAAGAAAAACCAAGTTCAAAGTAGATTTTGACCTTTAGATAGACTTTGCTTTTTTAGGTTTACTTTCACACTCTTAATTAAAAATATCCATGGATTCGGAACAACCAGGCATGAATTCTATGAATCATTTTTGTAATAACAAACTTAGTTTTGGCCAGAACATGGCCCAGGAACTAGCGGTTGAAAGGAAACTGATTTTACCTCAATATGAAGAAAGTGTTTCAACAGAGCTGTCTAACAGTGGGCTTCCAGAAGTCCACAGTGCAAAAAATGATAATATGCTTTATACTGTGTGTGATAGAATAGACTTTTAGCTAAAGGTGATCATCAGGTAAAAGTTAGGATTGGTGTTTAGATTTGTTTGCTCTGTAGTGAGTGAATTCATTTGTCAGTCTATCTTACACAGTCTGTAACTTTATAGTAGTCCAGAGCCTAAAGGAAATTGACCTTAAGTAAAGCAATTGTGAATTAATAAATATTTATTCACATGTACCCCTGAACTTAAAATAAAAGCTGAATAAATAAATAAACATTTGTAGGAATGACCTTGGATTCAGATATACATGTATCAAGTAGATAACTGAGAGTCATTAGAAACATACTTATGCTAATGATAAGTGTCATGGGCAGGTAAAAATATGGGCAATTAATATTATTTTCTTGATTGGGTTCAACACTAGTCCGATTTATTGTATGGCCACAAGAGTCTACATGAAGATAAATCCAGTAAAGGAACGGATGGATGTGACCATGCCTAAGATGGGGGCTGTGGCCCAGGATATACAGTTGCTCCATTGTTTAAGAAAAGCCCAAAATACAGGGTTTTATGTAAAACCTATGATTTGTTTAAACAAAAAAGTCCTCTGCGTAGCTGCAAAATACTTTTGTGGGCTCGTGGGTTCCATGGCCAGCTTGTGACTGTGATCTCAGGATAAAGTAAATAGGGATTAGCAGTGATAACAATGGAGATTTGATAGTTTTTTTTAAAAAGTTTTATAAAATGTGTTTTTTAGTATAAATTTTTCAAATAAATTGGATTTGGTGATAATTATTAATTGATTTAATTTCTTAATGAGCCTTGTCTTACAATATTAGTTCTGTGGTTGCTTCACTGGGAAATCAGTATGATGTTGCTTGGTGCACATTAGCAAAACTTGAAAACTCCTTTTACACCTCTTCTTTCTGTGTTAACATTTATACATTTGGTTTGTTGTTCATCTATGAAGAGAACCAAATCTGAAATCTGTTTTAATATTAGACTTATCTTCTGCAGTGAAGATTGTTTTTAACTCATGGCAACTGTAGAAGTCATCTTTCTTTTCCTTTTTTTTCTTTTCTTTTTCTTTCGTTTTTCTTCTTCTGCCTCTTCGCTTCTCCCTTTCCCTCCTCTCCTCCCTCTCTTTCTTTTTTTTTTTTTTTTTGAGATGGAGTTTTGCTTTGTCTCTGAGGCTGGAGCGTTGCAGCGCAATCTCGGCTCACTGCAACACTCTGCCTCCCAGGTTGAAGCAATTCTCCTGCCTCAGCCTCCCGAGTAACTGGGATTACAGATGTGGGCCACCACACCCAGCTAACATTTGTATTTTTGGTAGAGACAGGGTTTCATCATGTTGACCAGGCCGGTCTTGAACTCCTGGGCTCAAGTGATCCACTTGCCTTGGCCTCCCAAAATGCTACTGCGTCTGGCGTCTTTTCTTTTATTCCTTCTTTTCTTTCTAACAGACAGGGGCTCATTATGTTGCTCAGGCTGATATTGAACTCCTGGCTTCAAGCAATCCTCCTGCCCCAGCCTCCCAAAGTATTGAGATTATGGGTGTGAGCCCCCATGCCTGGCCTCATCTTTCTTTTTTATGTATGTTTTATGCATGTACCTGTGCAGTTTCAGAATTGTAATAGGGGGCTCCCAGAGGGGAGTAGGAGAGTACAGTGGGCCTAGATCCCAGGCTTTCTCATATGTACTCCCCAAGGCTTTTTCTGTCCCACCATGCTCTTTTGAAAGGCCCTCCCTGCCTCTTTAGCGTTTTTAAATGAATGGGCTTATCTGTTTCAGTACTATAGGCAAGGAGTAATGGGGTAATGACAAAAGTACACTTCCCTCTTATTTCTTGTGTGGCAGCAGTCTACACTAGCTGGAATTGAGCCAAGTGTGGCTTAAGAGATAGCGGGACCATTTCTTTTCTTTAGCAAGTTAGTGGGAGGGAGAAAAAACTGCCCCAAAGTGTTCATTTTAAAGTTGACTTCCTGAGAAAAGTTGACTTGCGTCGTAGTTAAATTTCAGACTGTTTGTTTAGTCTCTAAACAGACTATTTTTAACAGTTCAATTTGATATTACTCTATCAATTGTAAGTTCCAAAAATATTTGTAAATGTTCTAATTTCAGAAGAATAATGCGTAAAGAAAAGTGATTGTTGGACTCTACTAGAGAAATTTTCAGGAACATCTTGTTCATATATATATATTATTTTTATTTTTATTTTTTGAGACGGAGCCTTGCTTTGTCCACCCAGACTGGAGTGCAGTGACACGATCTTGGCTCAGTGCAACCTCTGCCTTCTGGGTTTAAGCGATTTTCCTCCCTCAGCCTCCCGAGTAGCTGGGATGACAGGTGCGTGCCACCATGCCTGGCTAATTTTTGTATTTTTAGTAGAGAGAGGGTTTTGCCATGTTGGCAGGTTGGTCTCGAGCTCCTGACCCTAAGTGTTCCACCTGCCTCAGCCTCCCAAAGTGCTGGGATTACAGGTGTGAGCCACCGCAACCTGTCTTGTTTATATTTTGATTGGTGGATTTGCAAGAGAATGTGACATCAGAAGAAAGAAAAGGGTGATGGTAGGAAGTATATTCTGTGCCAGCACCTCTGGTCACCTAGGCCAGCATCCTAGGAATTAGCCAATTCTATCTCTTTGCCATTTAATGTATGTTTAGGTAATCAATGAAGAGCATCAGTCCTACCTAAATATTGGTCTGGTCTTTGGCTTCTTTCTCTACCTTTATCGTTGGCTTAATTT